TTGTTCACAAACAATCCTTCCGCTGCACGTTTAAATGAATCTATATTTTTGCCAATCAATTTGTTTGTGACATTTTATAATTAAATAAAAATCTTTTATTCAACAAATATTAAAAAGTATTCGAAAACAGAATCCGCTGAAATGGCGAAGCGACTGCCAATAGACATCCGCAATTGCAGATGCGTTGCCTTCCCTTAATCGACGGAAGAGGAGCCGCAGATATTATTACATTTACTATGCGTCTCCTCCGCCGTCAAATCTCTTCCTTCAAATCCCTTCCTCATAAGAAAAAGGTGGAAAAGAAAAGAACTAAAATCATGCCTCCGGCACGTATTTAAGACAGTGACGTAAATTATGAAAGATAGATTAACCTAGAATATGAAGATCTAGCTCTCTGATCTACGGGAGTATGCTGATGGGTTCTTCATACAAATTTAATACGTTTTATCCGTGTTCATTAACCACCGTCGTTCCATGGAAACCCACTTTAATACCTAGTTGTCAACGTTACCGCACAGGGTCGGATTAAGCGCGGGAATAACGAAGCGAATTTAACTTGGGGCTATTAATAAGTCGCCAGACGCCCGGTAAACTTTGATAAGCCGGCTCTGAGCGAAATTTATTTCAGGATTACGTTTGATATGTTACTTCTTAATTATATGTTATGGAATTTTAAAATGGAAATCGTTAATTATATTGTACTAGCTGTTCCCATGCGACTTCGTCCGCGTGGTATCAGAGAACATGCGAACGATATAAATAACAAAAAGCTACGATTCCTTTGGGAATCGGACATTTCTCGGGGATTAACCTTATCCCATGTATTCTCACTTTGTTTTATATCTGTGACAAATTTCAATAAGATATGTTGAACCGTTGCAGTATAATCGAGTAAACATTAAAAAACTTAATCAATGAATCCTATGGGGACCGTCACTATTCCCCTATGCTCTAAACCTGTACCAAATTTCATGAAAATCCGTTTAACTGTTTAGACTACAAACGCTAACAAACATCCATCCAATCATCGTAACTATCGCATTTATAATATTGATATGATATGATTTACATAATTTATGACTATCATACCTTTTTCTATTTGATAGAATAACATCTGTTAAAAAAAAACTTAGTTATTAGAGCATTAGCATAAAATTTTCAACAAAGAGAACATAAAATTATTAGTTTTATGCTTGTAATAACAATGACTAAACGCTTTATCAGCGATTCAAATTAATGAAAAACATTTCACAGATTGAAAAAATATCTTTAAGAAATGAATAAAATCAATCTAAATGATTCAACATAATTACATGTAAACTCGACGAAAAATACATTAGAAATACCGAGGAAAAAAGACAGAATCAAAACACAGTAAGTTTTGACAAAGTAATTTATTGTGTTCATTTCTTTACGGTTATAAAATATTCCTTTATATATCTGTGTATTTATGTATTCTTTAGAACATTGATGGCATAGAGGTTAAGCTGTTCCTATCTGCAAGTTCTGGGTTTGAATCCCATCGTATACTAATGTGTTGTCATTTTCTATGAACATTTTATAAAGAGACGGAAGAATGATCAAAAAATACAACGCATCATAAATGTGTCTACGAAAAAGTCTGTGATACACGGCTAATTCATTTTTAGTGTTATCCCTTTGTTTGCTCTCATTGGTAACTAATAAGATACTTCTAGAAAAAGGCGGAATTTGTCTCGTTGAAATGAACAAGGGTTGAAAGTGAAACACCGCGGATTTCTGCGATTGTACATACGACGCTTTTATGAATAAAAACATGGGGTTTCTGCACATATCGGCGAAGAAATTGAAAGATAAGTGCCCTCGTGGTTACTTTTTTGTATTGGAAAAAGAAAGAAAAAAACATACCCTTCCTTCTGTGTTAACCACTAAAACCCACTAAAACCCCCTTGTTGGCCAGCCTCTAGTGCAACAGAAGGGGGTTCCGGGATCTCCGTGGAACTCTTGGAGACTTCGGCACTTTACGACACAATACAGGACATTGCCTGTTGTTCCGTAGCGTCATGGCAACATAGGACCACGCTATGGTACCATCCTCCCGGATCATTTTGATAGACGATCAGGGCCCCTAACCGCCAAGTGTCCCTTATGCTTAAAGACTACCATATACTATAACCTAGTCATTTTTACCTTAGTTTAGGCTTGTTCTTAATACATTCTTAATATTAAAATTACACACCTACAAAGGGAGTGATTTTCTTACGAAACTTATAATAGAAGTCGCATAAAGTTGATGGACATTTAACGGAATTACCTTCATTAAGATTTAGTCACGTAATACCTGACTTTATGAAGATATCAGCTGTCATTTAAATTATTTAACATTACAAATCTTCAAAAAATCAGAAGATTATACTTTGTAATAATACTTCAATTATAATTGTAAATTAATTCAAAACTAGATATTCGTAATTCAAAAATATCTTTACAAATTAAAATACTGCCTTTTTAAAGATATTTTTATTATAATAAACTAGCTGTTCCCGTGCGGCTTCATCCGCATAAAATTACAAATAAGTTTAAATATTGTTTATATTTGTCAAATGTCAAAATTCAAATGGATAAATGACAACCTTGCTTCCTTGATGTTGGCAGCTTATAGTTTATGGTCCCTTTCCCGCATTAGGGTTTTTATACAAAATATTTACCCCCTGTGTTTAGTGGTGTGAAAATATATAGCCTAAAGCGTGACGTAAGTGTAGGGTTTTTTATTAAAAAAGGAATTATTAAAAAATATACTGTAATTGCTGACATCTTAGGCAACAAAGAAGTTTGTGTTTACGCTTTGTTATAATTGCATAGATATATTTTTAGAATGGATTCGCTTGGCTGGCCAGTTTGATCTCTATCGCAAACAACCAGTTTATTACTGTTAGTTTTAAAAACATTTTACAACAAAAGCTATTATATAACTTTACACGTCTTAAAATAATTTAAGAGAGTGAGGCTATTTAACGCCTCTTCAAGCGATAGCGGCCAACTTGGCCAACTTTCACGTCCGACAATGGAAACAATTGTATGCAAACTTATCAAGTTACCAGCTTGTGTTTAATTATAAAGTACAGTTATATAAGGAAGGCTTTTGGTTTGGATTTTTCTAAACCCAAACCATGGCTATTAGCGCTTATCATATTTTGAAATACAACAATTAACAGGTAATGTTATTTTGGTAATAGTTTGTTTAAAGTAATTAGTTTATTTATTCTAATATAGTAAATGTTAATATTTAGATGTATAGATAGTGATACAAGGGATCTACAGAACAACACACATAGTTCGAAA